TCATCATTTTGATCCTTTTTTCCTCCTAAATTACTCAATATTCTCCCAAAAATATTATATTACGTTTCAATTAGTTTTATGGTATAATAGCTATTTAACAGAAAATTTGTTGCTACTTTATGATAGAATACAATTATTGAACTATTACTTCGATTTATTGGATTTGTTTAGTTCGACAATATCATAAAAAGATTAAATTGATGGAGCACTATTTTAAAATATAAATGATTAAATTTATTGAATTATTATGAATTAAGATAAAACTAATAAAATTTATTAGTTTCAAAAATTAAAAATGTTATTATACCATGTTACATTAGATGTTCATTTTAATATTAATGACAAAATTATATGTTTGTAGTCGTATTTTAGTTGATCTATTTATAAATTTTTTAAAATAAATTATTTATTATCAAAAAAATAAATAAACGATTTAAAATATTTTTTAATAATATAATGATTATAAAGTAATATTTGTTTATTTTTTAAATTATATATATATATATAATTGTTAAAATAAAATATATTTTATCCTTAAATCCTCCGCAATCTACAAATAAAGAGATGGGTCCAATCCAAAACCTATGTGTGACATGAAAAGCCACTTGCACTCTCTCAGTCTCTCTCAACTCAGTCTCTCTCAACGGATAACAACACAAAGATAAACAAATCCCAACCACAAAAGGCATCAATGAAGAATTCTACATTTCTCCCCATGTTTTTCTGGCTGCCCATTCTGTAGTTCATATGAACTGGAGCACAAACTATAAAAACAATGGCAGTTTTGCAGAATTCCATACCTTCCCTTCATCATACATTGTTCATTAATTCATTTCCCCAGGTTTCTTTTCTCATCAGCATTGTCAATCTATTTCGCTTTCCAGCTTTGGGTCTTTTTTATTTTCTTTCAACTTCTTCTTTTGGTTGGATTTTAAATTGAGGGGTTTTGCCTGTTTTATCTGTTGAACAGAAAGGATTGCAGAAGCTTTCTCATGGTGCATTTCTTAGCTGTAAAACAAGTGTTTCTCTTCATGTCCGGGCTGAACATTTATCCTCTTTAGCTGCTTCTTCTTCTAGTTCTTCTCATTTTCAAGGTGAACTTATTTTTCTTTTTCTTAATTTAGTAATTCTAGATTTTGGTATGGTGATTCGTTGTTAATGTATAGAGGTATTTGTGGAGGTTTATTGAGCATTTATTTTTCTATATTTCAGTGCTTATATTGTAAAGATATTTTTTTCAAAAAAATAATCTGCAGAGATTTGTGGGAGACGCCAAATAATTGCTGCTGGAATCACTGCTCCTCTGGTTTCAATTGTTGACCAAACTCCTACTGCATGTATGTATGTTGTTTGAAGCATTGAAATTGAAACTATATTCGGCAATCTATGTATTTATGTTGTGTTTGTACATTGTTTCGTGTCACAATATCATTCGAGAAGTTATTGATATGTATAAACTTTGACATGCTAATAATGTATGTTAATGCATTGGTATCATGTTCGATTTATTGTATCGTCCTAAGTTGTCGAACCTACTCGAAATCATTTCAACATGCATGCTATTATGCAGTATGATGATTCTTTGAATAAAATTTGCTGATATGCTAAGAGGACACATTCATATGGTTCAGTTGCTGCAGAAACTAAAAAGGGATTTCTTCCGGTCACAGACAAGAAAGATGGATACACATTTCTCTATCCATTTGGGTGGCAGGTATACTTTGTGCATGTAACTACCTATGTTACTCAGATACGGCTATTCTATCCGATTCAGAGGAACATAGTCATTTTCGGATTTGATTTATCAGAAACTAAAATTAAATAGTCTCACTTCCAAGTGTGCAGGAAGTAGTTATTGAAGGTCAAGACAAGGTATTCAAAGATGTTATTGAGCCATTAGAAAGTGTGAGTGTTAATTTGATACCAACCAACAAACAAGACATTCGAGATTTCGGGTCTCCACAAGAGGTTTGCCATGGGTTTTCTATACTATATATATCATCATAATCAGAACATAAAAAGAAAAGGAAAGTGAGATCTTAGTTTTCATAATAATTTCTCACAGGTTGCTGAGACTCTAATCAAGAAAGTTTTGGCGCCTCCAACTCAGAAAACAAAGCTAATTCAGGCAGCAGAGGTTTGTTTCGGGAATTGTATTGTTTGATGCTAAGATAGTTCATAGTTTTGTTACCCTTTTTTATTGTTATTTCTTTGTTGTTTTCAATTATGTTGATCTAATTCTTCATTCTTTGTCCCAACACCTATATCTGACGAATATCTGGATATAGATATGTGGATATAACCCTCCAAGATACCTTCAAATATGATAAAAGACATGACCAAGTGTTGTATCTTAACCTTGAATGAAATCATACTTTTGTCTTGAAAACTTTCTCAACTAGTTTATCTAATAACCTTCTCGTAATGTTGTGGTGGATCGTGTTATGCTATGTTGTTTGGACATGCATGTCAGCATGTGCAGATTTCTATCATACTAAGAGTCTAAGTTTAAGCCATCCATGTGAATTTGTGTTGTATTCATGTTGTTTCCACATCTTATAATTGTGTTTAAAGTGAAAATTTTATATAAACTGAAACTTAATAGTTCATGTCATGTAGATTTTAATGGATTGATGTATTCACGTCGTGTCTATATTATTTTCCCGTTTTGAATTAATGTTGTGTCCAAAATGAACAGGTATGTTCATATCATTGTTAGCTCAGGGAATTGCCTTAAACTTTGAATTTTTGAATGTCAAACGCTCTTCTAATCTATTGGATATACATTTTGACATGGGTATGAGGATATAATCCTCCAAAGACCCTCAAAATACTTAGATAATGTTGAGCACACTGGTTTCGACACATACCTTATCCGACAGTTATTCTCGAGTCCAAATAACATAACATAGCTCCTAATCGTATTGATATTAGCTTCCTGTTTGTTAAGCTTTTAGAATTTGTTTAGTGAACATTATGGATTGATATGTTTTGTGTCATGCATATCTCACAGCATGATGTAGATGGAAAAGCTTATTATACATTCGAGTTTATCACTCGGGCTCCAAACTACACTCGACATGCTCTCACTGCAGTTTCTATTGGAAATGGTATGTATATGCGTGGTTACTATGTCATTTCGATTCTTCATTTCAACACCCTTGTTGAGCACAAATTTGGACATGGTTTTGAGTATATAATCCTCGAGTACATAGAAAAACTTAGACCATCATGTTGGAAACATACCTTAGCCGACACACGAGTCCAGGTATCATCACATTGGTATATACCATGTGTATTGCATCTGTAGATTGTCTTACTGTTTAATTAGTTTTCATCGGCAACAAGTAAAAGTAAAAATCGTAATTTTACATGAATATGGAAAATACTCCTTGTTCACGAGCTTTTATTAAAAGTAGATAATTTATGTACATCGTTTTCATACATTAGTTCATTCCATCATGTTCCTATGAACAATCCATCAAATACATAACATTGTGATGTGGGTGTTTTATCAGGTAAATTCTATACTTTGACAACCGGGGCAAATGAGAGAAGATGGGATAAGATGAAAGATAGATTGATGACTGTGGTAGACTCCTTCAAGATATTCAATGTTTGAAAAACATAGTTGGTATGCATGTACTTGTTGATTGAGAGCATTTTGCACCCCCCCCCCCCGGAATTATTGTATAAAGTCCCAATTCAATCTTGTTTTTCTTTTCTTCCCCAACTTTTTAATCTTCCAACTGTATTATTATGGAACCACTCCTCACAAGGTCTCGACGTATATATAATAGAGTGGTGATTGCTCTTTTATATATAAGGTAGTATCTATTTAAAATTCTCTCAACTAAATAATGATGAACGTATATATCCTGCTGGCGTTATACTGTATTGCTAACTTATGAGCTATTATATCTGAATACAAAATATCTCGTAAGGAAGCTTTACTAATAAATTTAATCTCTAAATATCGGTGAAAGTAAAGATTTTTAGTAAAATTTAGTCCATACATACATGCATAAACATACAATCACAAAAAAATTTCACACGTTGGATATGAGTAAAAGAAAACATTTTATATAAAATTATTTTATAAAATTTTATTTAATAAATTTTACAAGTGAAATAATAATGATTTTACATATAGATTTAATGGTGTGTTAGGTTATTAATGTGTAATTGTATTTTCATACAATTGTTATGATGATAATTACTAACAATTCTAATTTTCTAGATATATTTGATTATAATACATAATTATACCTTAATAATTATTTCATATAGAGTAAGCACATTTGGTCGGGTGATCAAGTTACTTTTCTTTGTTCCATCATATTACCTTAGGTTATTGGTTCTAAACTTACTAGGAGCACTCGCCTTTTTCCCCTAGAGTCTCCCTTCCCCTCTCCTCTAGGTAGGATTAATTAATTATACCTTAATGAACACTCAAATACCCTTAAAGACAGTATGATTGAACACGAAACCTCTCAAAATAACAATCATTCCTTAACTATTGAGATCGTTTGATTTCTACATATAACATTAATATATTAAAAATAAATAAAACAGAGTGAAAATATATTATAAAACATTGATCCCTTGTTTTTTCCGCACGAATTAACTATCAAACTTGGATATTATCGTGAATGTTTGTCCCCAGTATCCCAACAATTATCAATTTTATTGCAGATAATGAGGAAAAACTCGATTAAAAGGAAGTTTCCGGGGTAATGTTATTAGTTAAAATTCATCGAGTAAATATTGCTTGTTGATTGGTAAACGAATTGGATAAACAGTGAAGTCAATTAGAATATTCCTTCTTAACAAAGGATCCTACAGAATATTTCCGGGGATCATTTTCTAGTAAATTCCATCATTATTTGTGCTGCTGGTTCCTTAATTGTATTTTTTGGATTACTATATATATAGTCAACAAGGTAAAATCGTTTAAATTTGGCTTCTTTTGTTTTAATCAATTTTACAATCCTCTTGCTATGTGTTTGAGAAACAAGTTAAACGAGGCAGCTAAAGCAGGAAATATAGATGGCTTGTATGACGTAATCGGGAGAGATCCATATATTCTAGACCGAATCAGTGAAATTCCGTTCGTCGACACTCCGGTGCACGTAGCTGTAGCGTCGGGGCATGTAGATTTCGCGGTGGAGGTTATGAATTTGAAGTCATCATTTGCCAGGAAGCTGAACAAAGAGGGCTATAGTCCGATTCACTTGGCATTTCAAAATGAGGGAACTCTGCTTCGTCTCGTGGAAACGGATAAAGATCTTATTCGTGTCAAAGGTAGAGAAGGCTGCACGCCTTTACATTATGCAGCTCAGCACGGTAACCTTAATCTTTTGGCCAAATTTTTAGTTGCTTGTCCCGAATCTATACACGACGTGACGATTCGGGACGAGACTGCTTTGCACGTTGCTGCGAAGAACAACAAACTCGAAGCTCTTCGTGTCCTGGTGCAATTGCTTCGGAGGACCTATTTTTACAGCTGTTCCACAGGGAAAAAGCTATTGAATTGGAAAGACAAGGATGGCAACACTGTATTGCACGTTGCTGCATACAATAATCAACCTAAGGTACTGCAATCTTACGAATTACTGGTCTTTTTAAAACGATACGATATCTCTATTATATTGATCGAATATATCTCTTTAACATTTTATATCAATCGAGCAGATGATCAAATTGTTATTAGATTGCAAAGTTAATGTGAATGAGATCAATTCAAGTGGTAAAACACCATTGGATGTCATACAAGAACTTCAAACCCCAGACGAGGCTTCAAAGAAAGATGTTAGGCGAATTCTACTCAATACCGAAGCTTTGAATGCTTCCTCGACTCCAAGGCCTCAACCCTTACACGAACAATTAAGATCGACTATTACATTTACCGAAAGAGCATTTGGCGAAGTGCTTCATGACATCGCAAACATGTCAACCGAAAGAAGTGGTGCTGTTCTTGTGATATTAGTCCTCATTCTAACATCGACTTACCAAGCCACTCTTAGCCCTCCCGGTGGTGTTTTACAAGGCGATGGTGGAGACTCGCACGATCATCTCGAGCCTCGTAGTCTCGTCTCACGGAAGATGCTTCAAAAGTACGTGCTTCCAAATGATGGACCGACGTTTAGGGACAAATCACTCCATCGTGTTAACTCGAAAGAGGGGAAATCGGCATTGAATTCGGCGGCTTTTCTTCTGTTTTATGTTCCAAACACTCTAGCTTTCATTATGACATTTATTTTGACGCTGGGGCTGCTTGCGATTGTTGCCAGTGGGGTAACATGGCTTCTTTTACCGCCTTTACTTCTTTTATATTTTTGCCAACTGAGTTCTACAATTGACATATCTCCCACATCGGCTGTTGTAGTCTTGATTTTTCTTCCTTTTCTTAGTTTACCTATAATGTTCAGAATCATTGGACATGCAAGAAGTCTTAGGAAATATATGGGTGACAAAGTTTAGAGAGATTTTCTCATCTCAAATGTGATACCGAATAATGTATTTTATTCAAAATAATATTGATTGCTATATAAGAGTTAATATTTAATAAATTATTTGAGTCCTAATGTTGAAACATCCTAAGGGCTATGAGTTTATTTAAGTTATATAATATTCTCTTATTTAAAAGTTCAATAAAATTATAGATAATTTAAATATTTTATTTTATATGTATACATAAAATACAAAGTTTAACGACATATAATGTGTATATATCGACGTGGCTTGAAATAAGTTTAGGATTCCTAATGTATCTTAGAGTAATGATTATTGATTACAGTACCACAAAAGATTACTTTATATCTACTCTCAAGAGGGAGATGAGAAAAACTTTAGGGTAAATTACTAAATTGATCATTTTGCTTTCATATTTATATATTATTACTCATCGAATTTAATAAGTTGCTTTTAGATGACTTATATCGATTAATCAAATTTAGCCACTTATGCTATATTTTGGTCATTGAGACATTAACCAACAACTACTAAGACATTAACTCTTATTAGTTTAATGATATGAAATGTTAGCAAAATAGATTAACTTTAATTTAACCCTTGAATTTCAATAACCTCTAAATTTTGGATGAAATATTATTTTAACCACTAAACTTCAGATAAAATATCAAATTAATCATTGAAATTGACCAAAATCTCTCACCGTCAGCCTCCACTTACCCTTGTCGACGTTGGTCACTGTCAATCGGCATTACCCACCGTTACCAAAGATTATTACACCTTAGAATTTTCAATTCACTCATTTTGTTAACCTCTTAAACACGAATCCAATATTCATTTCATAAAAAATGCCTCAAACTTAAAAAAATTAATCTATAATCCTTCGACTTCCTTTAAAATTAAACCATAATAATAAATTTATCATTAATACTTTTTTTTTAAAATATAAAGACACCAAACAGACAAAACTATATCATAATCAAATACACAAATAGTTCATTTATATATTGATTGGTGTTGTTAAAAATGTATGAAGGGATTAAATTGATTAAGTATTAATATGTTTGAGTGTTATTTTTAGAATTAAGACTAAATTAAAATAAAGTGTAAAGTTTAGGGCTAAAAGTTTTATTATACTAATTTTATTAACTGTCAAATCATCATCCGTTAATTTTTTTTAACATAATAGACCGACTTGTTACTTTTGTTAAATATTTTAAATCGGGTAATCATTTGATAACTTTCCATAATCAAGGGAGTTGATAAAAACACACCCTCTAATTAAGGGACTATTTTAGTCTTTTACCCATAAGTTTTATATTCTTTAAATAATTATGTTTATTAGTAATTTCATATATTTTAATAATTATATTATTAAACTTTTAATATAATAATATGATATTTATAAATATATTTTGATAAATAATTTTTATTTTTTAAACATCATTATATGGACATATTAATGAATGTATGTATGTTAAATTAAAGTATATATTGATCATATTTAATTTGATTCCAAACTTTGATTCCTTCACTCCACTCTGGAACTTTTCCTTTTATCTATTTTACAATAATTTACACCGATAAACTTAAATAATAATAGGAAAAGAGAAAAACAAAATGTATCTTACGGGATTATTTGGTTCATGTAATATAATTGAATTAGTTATCAATTTATATAATTGAATGAAATAATCATATTTTATTAGTTATCAATTTATATAATTGAATGAAATATTAAACCTTTTAATAATATAATTACATAATGAGTAAATATTTAAAATTCTTAAACTGTGTTTCTTTCTTCTTTTTTATAAACTTTTAGACATTAGCACCATAAGTCCTCCTTCGAATGTTTGGGTTATTATTTCTAAGACTCAAATTCATATTTTTTTTCTTTAAAAGTATACTATATCTTACTGTTACACCCAACACTTAGGGGTTGTTTGTTTACTTCAGAATAATTAAGCGCTGAATAATTCAGAAGCTATGTATAAATTAGCTCTGAATGTGACATGCTATTTAATAATGGCTCTGAATCATTCAGAATGTACTTTGATGCTGAATCAGTCAGCACTGAATCATTCATAAGTGTGAAACAAACGTGCTGAATGCTGAATGGAATCATTCAGCGCTGAATGCTGAAGGAACCATTCAGAGCCAAACAAACAACCTCTTATTATTATATTTTTAAAATTTTAATTTATCATAGCACTGTTTTTTTTATAATAATATTAAATATTTAAATTTTTTGAATTATATTTAAAACATTTCAACTCAAATTAATTTTTAGGTAAACTACACTTTTAGTATTCCAACTATCACTTTTGTTCTGTTTTGGTCACTCATCTTTTTTTATTTATTTTAAAATCATACTTAATGTTACATTTTGGTCACCCGTCGTTAAAAAATGATGATACTGATGTGTCACCATAAGGTAGTGCCACGTCTTTATTGAAAAAAATTAAAAATATCATGTTAACACTTCTGTTAATTTTTTAACAACAGATGACCAAAATGAAATCAAAACGTAAAATTAGGTATGATTTTGAAAAAAAAAATAATTAGATGACCAAAACGGAACAAAAATAATAGTTAAGATACTATAAATATAGTTTACCCTTGTTTTTTTCAATAGTAAAGGTCAGCCAAGTTTTACTAGGTTAAAATCTCGAATATATAGCCATTGAAGTTATCAATACGTTGGAACTTTTTAAAATAAATGGGTTTTTCTTTTATTCCTTATTTTCTTAAGGTTTGTTTTTTTTAATGAGTTGAGACTGAAAAGAAAATGATAATAATTTTCTGCAATTCTTTTTTTATTATTTAGTAAAAAGAATGAAAAAATGGATTTTAACATTTTTTTATGAAATAAAAAAGAAATTGTTTGGTTATAATAATAATAATAATAATAATTGTCTGTCTAGCTCAGTTGGTAAGAGAGCAAAGCTCTTAACCTTGTGGTCGTGGGATTGAATCCCACGGTGGGCAATTCATAATTCTGACTGCTGGAGGTCTCCCACGGAAACTGCTCTCAACCTGGTATTGGGGGCATGCTACTATCGTATCTCTCACCCCATATCATATGGTAATAGGGTCAGTTAATAATTTTTTTGTTTGGTTATAATAACCTTTTTTTAATATATCGTTTTCGTAAAATAATCTATATAAATCTCGATTTTCTAATTTTTTCTACTTAAATTTAAATTTTTAAAAATCTATTCAATAACGATTAATCTAATTCTTTTTAATAAAAAATGTTTTTTTGTATAAAATTATACTATATTCAACTATCTATAATTTAAAGTATCTGGAAATTCTATGGAAAAAATAGATTTTTTCTTTTGCTTGCTTTAATTTTGCTTCTCTCCGGCTTCTCCAATTCAGTGTTAAAGATTTGAAGCGCGACCAAATCTGATGTCTATTTAATTCTTTTCTTAAGGACTGAGTTAGGTACTTTTTCATGAAGTAGGACCAAGCCAATCAGAATATTATAAAGAGACGAGTTTCCAGGTGAACCTCATCCTACTTGCTTTACTTGCTCTCATCTTACCCGTCACTTTGAGGCTTTGTTTACTTAAAGTGAAGCAATTAGGACATATTCTTTCCAAAATGGAACAGTTAATTTTCAAATAACGACCCTTTACGTTGCATTTTAGATGGCTATAAAGTTGATGTTCTTTTACTTATCTTCACCGTTTCCATTATACTTCTTCAATTGAATCCTTACAGACAGGAAAAAAAATACGGAGATGGATCCAAGTTTGAAGGAAGCAGCTGAAACAGAAAACATTGATGCCTTGCACCTTCTAATTCGAGATGATCCCTACATCTTGGAACGCCTCGACCAAGTTCCTTTCGTCGAGACTCCACTTCATGTAGCAGCAGGCAAACTTCATGTAGCAGCAGACAATCGGCGCTTTCGTTTTGCGATGGAGATGATGAGCTTGAAGCCTTTGTTTACCGAGAAGCTAAACCCAAATGGGTTTAGTCCCATGCACTTGGCGCTGAGAACAGAGCAGGCTAAGCTAGTGCTTCGACTGTTGAAGACCGATAAAGATCTGGTTCGCGTCAAAGGATGGGAAGGGATGACTCCTTTCCATTATGTAGTTACAATGGGGAACTTAGAGCTTCTTTCTTGATGCTTGCCCTGGATGCATCGAAGACGAGACTGCGTTACATCTTGCTTTGAAAGAAGACCAGATCGAAGCTTTTACCCTCCTAATTGGATGGCTTCAAAGGACCCGCCGGACTCAACGTAGTGTCTTGTCCTTTGAGAAAAAATTGGCGAATTGGAAAGACGACGATGGCAACACTCTGTTGCACTTTGCGGCTAAGAGCGGAAAACATTGGGTATGTGCAATTCTATTCTTTGATTTACGTCGCATTCCGAAAACCTCTTTTCGATAAACTATTATTGGTTGTTCTGTTTTCCATTACCAATGCATGCAGGCGCTAAAACTGTTGTTAGATTCCCAACTTTGGTTACACGTAAATGCTAAGGATTCGAGTGGTTTGACGGCTCTTGACATCATACAAGGTACTAACAAACGAGACAAGGACGAAGAAAACAGAAACAGGAGTGACGAAGTCAATACCAAGATTAACCAGTTGAAAGGTAAAGTTACTTTGGAAAGAATAAAAGTGCTGGCAGATCGTACGAGGCACAGCATGTCCGTGGACATGATCAACACGATGCTGGTGATTATGGCTCTGGTTATCACAGCAATCTACCAATCGCCGTTAAGTCCACCAGGTAGTATTTGGCAAGACAATGGTGACGACAATGCCAGGGCCCCGGCTCGGCTATGGCCCCCTCGAACATCCCTAGCACGGGTAATTTCTCCAATAAAAACTTTGTTAATACGTCTGTGTGGATCTTTGGTAATAAAACGGAAAAAACCGGTGAAACAATCATGAATCCGCAGATGTATGGGTTGTTTTGGTTCTTGAACCTCGCAACTTTCAGGTTCACGGATCTTGTAACCGTATTCCTCCTCTCAAGTTTTCATCTTTTCCTGCTCCTTGCCATCCCGCTTTACATGATGGTCATCTGCTACTTCTGCTCCATGATAATCTTTGCACCAACCTATACTTGAGCATACGTCAGCCTTTTCTTCTTAGTTCTGTTTGGATTATTCCCATTCTTGCTCTTCTTCGGGTTGCTTATGTTTAGCAAATCGATTCGGCAGATCATAGGCGAGATCAGGTCCCGAACCCGGATGTGGAAAGAATTTGACATGAGCTCTCTAGGACCCTGGACGTTGATGTTTTATTCGCAATACGTACTTGATGGCATTTTTTGTATATGGATGCCTACAGCTTAGGTGTTGTAACACATGTCATTAAAATTAGGACTAAATTGATGAAAATATGTAAATATTAAGGACTTAATATATAAGTATCGATGGTCAAATTGGAATCTCTCCATTATTAAGTGGTCATAGATGTAGTTTACCCTTAACTATATTTACTTCAGTATGATCCATTGGAGTTTTAACCGAATTTTGCTCCACCCTCCTACTTTCCTCCATTAGTCTTAATCCACACAAACCCAATCTTGAAAGCCCAATTCTTTAAAACCCTAGTCTTCTCCTAATATTAGGGGTTCGACATATTTTGCGTAAGACTGAGAGAAGCAGCCATTGCAGTCACTGCAGCAGAACATCAAAAGAAGCTATGGGTAACTCTTCAAATACATCAAACATGACCTCTTTATATTGGAAGCAAAAGATAAAAAATAAAGATGGATGCTTAATTTCTTTTAATCTTTGTTTCATGTTTTTGTTTGTAAATCACTAAAAAAAACAGCGAGAATCAAGGTCCATGAGTTGAGACAGAAATAAAAAACTGAGCTTTTAGCTCAGTTGAAAGATCTCAAAGCTGAACTTGCTCTTCTTCGCGTTGCTAAAGTGACCGGCGGTGCACCCAACAAGCTTTCCAAGATGTAAAATTCTCCCTTTCTGTATTGGTTTCTTTGTTGTTTTTTGTGTTAGATGTGGATCTTAAGTTAATGGCTAATTGGGGGCATAAAATGGAACTTGATTTCTTACTTTATTTAGGGAAATGAGATATTCATTTGTTTTAACAAAGGATTTTCACTTTTTATTGTAACTTTATTTTATTATTTTTCCTATGTTGAGAAATTGATTTGCTATCTCTGAAACAAAATGCTTCTGATATATTTGATAAAATGTGGTTTGATCTATAAAATGTTAAACAGTAATCGTTTTGATGAAGACAACAAAATTGGTTTTCCTGAAGAAACAGCTAAACGATTCTACTTTTATACATGGAACAATCATGTTTGAATCGATGATTATTTTAACCATATGCCATTTTTTCTCGAATTTGATCATTTGGTTACTAACTGAGAAGCGAAATCTATATCATTTGATTGGCTGGTTGAGCTTTCCTAGAGCACGGTAGGACATAATGTATATGTTGGTTTGGAATTTGTACAATTTGGAGTGCTATCTAAATGTTTACGGGCTGTTGAATATTTTAGTTACTTTATTGATTTGTTTCTTTGCTATGTTTTTCTGAGTCTTTTTGTTTGTATGGGTGCAGAAAGGTGGTGAGGTTGTCGATTGCTCAGGTGTTGACGGTGATCTCACAGAAGCAGAAGACCGCACTGAGGGAGGCATATAAGAAGAAGAAGTTCTTGCCCCTTGATCTCCGTCCGAAGAAGACCAGGGCCATTAGGAGAAGGCTTACCAAGCATCAGGTACCGACATTCTTTTGATAATGCAGACTACTTTTTTTTCTAAATTTTGTTTAACAAGTCTGTTTCACTTTGATTCGGGCGGCAGTTTCCGGTGGGATTTATGTCCAACATAGGTGTGTGTATTCAAGCCTTTGCAATTGCAAGTTTCGGGCAGGGTTTATATTCACATACTCATATCTGAATATGTGTTGGATACGGGTGATGAGCTTTAGTACTTTAAGAGAAATGAAAGAAAAATGAAGAGATTGAAATCGGAATAACACGCTCTACTGTTCTACTTTGGTTGTTGGATCATCTGTTAATACGCATTCAACAAGTAACTGTTTAGTTCTATTACTATTTGTATAGGTTGTTGGGCTGTATGTCTGAATGTTGGTTTTGTTGCTTGCCCCAGGCTTCATTGAAGACGGAACGGGAGAAGAAGAGGGAAATGTATTTCCCAATGAGGAAGTATGCCATCAAGGTGTAGGATAAGATATTTCAGACAAGATTCTATTTTTGAATCCATTTATCTTTAATTAGTATCAGACGTGTGAAACCTGGGTTGTAATTTTGTTCAATTTTTAAATTTTCCAACATTTTCCATTCCAAACGTAGATGCTTTATAATTTAATATATATTACTCATTTTTCGTTCAATAAAAAAAGGAAAATATTAATTATTGAAGTAAAAGAATTGATACTAAAAATATATTGTTGTTAACATTATAATAATGTATTTTGAGGGGAAGAATATTTCAACTCACGTCGATTATTGTTTATTTTAGATAAATAAAGTTTTTATTAGTCTGGAAATTCCTCGCATCTCATTTCATTGGGTGATCATGTGAGAAGAATATTCATTCTAGATTCTATTAAATAATGATCCAAACTATTATGTTAATTTATTAATCAAATCATGATTTATTAATTTAATATTTCACTTTAGAACCAATTAAATAATTTTCTAGACCTATAGATTTAATATATCAAATAATTTCATATATATACTCGATTTGACTCGTACTCAACTCGAATTAGTCCGAAGATCCAAGGTTGACATGAATCGAAAAATGATTGATCGAAAACTGACTAATCTACATGCACAAAACCTTAAACTCAAAATCTGCTTAAACGATATCAATTTGCTTAAAAGTGGGATGGATACTTTAAATATACCAGGGCTTTGTTTAGGTATTTAAAACTGTATTCTGTTGTATTTATCATAATTCCAACTGAAATGAATGTTATTACAGTCTGTTACGATATATATTAATTGTATTAAGGCCTTAGCCTTCTTTATTGTTACTAGATTATATTTTATTTCAGTTTCTGAGATTTAAGTTGTAATTGGGTTCATTATCGTAGTTAATTAGTATTGGTCATTTTTTTAAACATTTTCAAAGCAAGCAGATTTGTCTCTCAATGGTTCTAAAGAGGTAGGTTAATGGAATCGAACTCATGATTAGTTTTGCTATCTTATGATCGGTTACAGTGTAAATAATATTCATCTTAGCGTTAGTTTATGTTACTGGAAAACCATGGCGGCTTGTAGTCATTGATGGGAACTGGTATTTATTTACACTTTTAAAGTTGATTGCATATCGTCGGTGTCGGAGATCATAGGTGCCGGCAGTAAGGTCCGGTTCGATAGTGTTGGAGCATCAGGTCCAACTGGTTCGGACCTTATCAGCTGAGATTGCTTGCAATGAGCAATGGCTCCCTGAATTGGGCTCTCAACCTCTACATTCACGCTGATGCTTCGTTTCAGAAATCGCAAATTCTGAGTTCCATTTGAGCTAGGACATGAAGAAGAACCAGATGACGATGTCGAATTAGAAGACGAAGACTTGTCCGTATAGTGTTGTCGTTTGACGGCCAAAGAAAACGATCTCCTATGGTGAATTTGTCCGAATGGAGCTTTCTTTGTTGCTTTCATCATCATGGACCGATCCAACCTTTCTTTAGCTCTTAGTCTTAGAATCGATCCTTCATCTGCAACTTTTGCAGCCGAACACGATTCACTCGAACAACCCGATATACTAAACAAAGAATTGAGGTAAGCCCTATAAGACTTCAGTTTTGAACCGATGGATGACGACTTTTTCCGGTGGTTCTCACCATTGCAGCGGCCGCTTAAAGCTTCGGTTGAGTACTCAAACGAACACTCTTCGGGATTCAACTCTCGGCTAATCCGACAAGACTCCGAAGGCGAAACATTGCAGGATTCATATGGAGTGGTGGTTGCGGTGGTGGTTAACGGTGTCGTATAAAAATCTTCGTAGACAGAAGAAGTGGAATTCTGCAGGAGTTTTTCGACCATGTGTAGACGAGGAGGGAGGTGAAGTGGAAGAAGCTTGCCTTTGTAAAAGAGTTCATCAGCTGGCGAAGTTGTGGGCTCGGTTTCCATGGAAGACCAAGACATTTGAAACTCGAACTCAATGGGGAAGTGCGGAGGCTGTGAGCTTATGGAGGAGTTGCAGAAGAAGTTGGAGTAGGAACTCACCTCCATTTCAATGTATTCATCATCTTCAACTTGAAGCTCATTTGGTAGTACACGGTTCACTGCCATTTTTATTTTACTGCTTTCCAATGTAATCTGTGTTTAGTGAGGAGGTGAGTGTCGTGATAGCAGAAGGAGAGCAAACTCTTTAAATCCTTGATGCTGCCGCGTAATATTAAAAATAGTCTAATATTTTTAACTAAATTTTAAAAATCAATTAACAATATCATAATATGTCATATAATAATGATATCTCTAAGCTATTAAGATTTAATAATAAAAAATATTAAATAATTTAATTAATTTATTTTATAATTCGATGGCTTAATTAAATATTTCGATACAAAAACTTAATTGACTGTAAATATAATAGGAACTGAATGAATTTTTAAAGAAAAACCATAGACTAAAATCTTTACATCTTGCCTAATATTTATCATTCTCGAAGTTTATCCTAATACGACAAGCCTCTTTTTGGAGGCTACTTATCCAATGCTTTTTCCTAACAAATAAACAAATATTTACCCTTCTTTTGATACTTAATTAAATATTTAGAACCCAACAAGAATCAAAGAATGATTTCCAAGCTGTATGGTTCTACTATCTTATACTAATCATGGTGACTTTAACGTCATTAATAAGGATTCATAAAGCTAATTTTTGTTATACTAATCATTACTATTAATCAATATGTTTTCTTTAAAATAAAATAAATGGTTTTTAATTTAATTTTATCCATAAATCAGTTTTTTAAAAATGGAAAAATAGTAATACATGGAAAGACATTTTTGTATTAAAAAAGACAAAGAAAGAATGCGGGAGTTGTCGACTTTAGGTAAGAAAAGAACAAATGAAGCGACATTCGATGGTGGGATGGGAATCATGTGAGGAAAATGTGGATGAAATGAGTTTCCTTGTTTTCTTTTCCTTTCCACTCACAACCATTAAAACGATAAGACATTCCAATGATACAAGTACTGGGGTTCTTATTTAATCTTTTCTATTTCCGGAGCTTCTAATGCGTGTTTAAAAACCAGCAACAATGAGGGTGTTGCACTGTTGATGTGGAACATAATTATAGTCTTTACTATGATTTGAGTTCTATTAACTTAAAGGTTTAATTTGTTCCGATTTTAATTTTAAAATTTGAACTTATCAAACTATGTCAATTAAATCCATTTATTTCGTTGAAAATAATTGATTTAATGGTTACTAACACTCACATATTTTTTTTAAAATAATATAACCCGTGATTATTTTGTAGGGTAGAGTATATAAATACTCTCCAGATTATAGAGTGATGTTTCATTGTGTACCTTTACTATTGAAAGTTATAAGATGATCACCTGATTATAGAGTGTTGCTTGTTGTGTTCTCTGACTATTAAAAGTTATAAAATAATCACCCGACGATTCATATGGTCCAAACTCGTCAATTTTTTGTTAAAAGATTAGTGACTGTTTGAGCTGGACATTAACATGCTCATTGTGATATGATAAAATCTGGTTCTAGAACTGTTTGAGTTGTATTTTATAAATCGAGTCTATGTTTACATTACGTCGTTGAGCCAGTGCTTGAAAGCAACATCGATACTAGTAGACATCATTAAAATATGATTCTATCATGTCTCAGTCAACATGTTAATGTCCAGCTCAGACAACCGTTAAATTTTTAACGAAAAAACGAGTTTGAAACACATGAATAGGTTGATAATCATTTTATAACTTTTAATAATCGGATGACTCAATAAAACAACATCCTATAGTTAAAAGACTATTTATAACATTCAATAGTCGAAGACTCAATAAAATAATATCCTATTGTCGACACCATCTGTATATGTTACCCTTATTTTGTATTGGATGCGACTTGTAAACCTAAAGATAATAATCAATGTGGTTTTCAATCGACGAAAAGTTTCGTTTACCGTTACACTATTAATGTGACTGTCCAGTGTCCACATGTCAATGATTCTTTATAGTGTTATTAATTTGCCTTTAACAACCTAGATGGTGAAGAATGACACCTCAATTCATCGTAACATAATTGGATACTTATATTTTGAAGTAGAAGCAAGACAAACATCTTAAAAGTAAATATTTTTATTTTTTTAATATTTAATATTTTAGATAATTTTTTTTTAATTTTGTAATAAATAAATAAATCTTCAACATTTTAAAGAAAATCAATTAAGTCTTCAAAACTTTTTAGAAAAATCAATTAAACTCATCTGAATATATAAATAGTCATATTAGCATCAAGATATTGTCAAAAACAACTTTGTAAACTGTCAAATTAGTACGGTAACAATCAATGATGATTTTTATTGATAAAATCATCGCGTTTACTTTTTTTCTTCTTTTGAGTTTGAAGAACATATTACATGAGAAAAATTTAAGGTTCACATTGATTTTTGTAAAAAGTACAAGGGGCTCATAAACAATTAAGCCGAAAGAATTTAAATGCCATTCTCAACTGCAAATCCAATTAACTGTGTGCTAATTAAAGTTAATTATTTTGTTGAATCAAATCCGAGTGTACTGCGATCATTTATCTCTCTTTTACACCCTGCCTTTCATGACTTAAAATCAAGGCAAGATAACCTAAACAACAACAGATTTGGTCCAGTGTAGTGATGGGATCTGAATTTATGATACAATTTCATCATGAATTTGATTCTAAGAGAGGTGAAAAGAAAAATATATTATCCGACGAAATCTTAAAAGCGAATCATGATTTTGCTGAGCTTTCCCATTCTCAAATACGGAACCAAAGAAATGGAAAAAGAAAATGAAAATTCTGCCGACAAACAACGAAAGTAGGAGCAAAAGATAGCCACAGAAGCATTAATCGAAGAGACCCACCACCCAGAAAACCAGGATATTGCCAGTGTCGTGGGTTGCTTCGATTCGAGAACCAAACGATAAAAGCAGAGCCTTGTCGGAGCTCGACCGGAGGGACACAATTGCCGGGTATCCAACCAGCACCAGAAATAACGAAAAAGCACTCTGCATCACCCACCACACAGACTTTTGCTAACGAAATTTACTAAAAGGATCATTTTACCTCATATTATATATATTTTTTAAAGTATTTTAGCATCCAACGTTTCATTTTAGGGTAAAAAGAACCATAACATTTGACAAAATAATTATTTTGTCTCTTATTCTTTTTTGGGGTATTTTAGCTCTTAACGTTTCATTTTAAGTTAAAAAACCTCCTATTTTGAAGCATTAATCATGTGTTAACTAATGATTTTCATCTATAAATGGAGTTTTTTGCCTCAAAGTAAAACAATAGGGACTAAAACACTTAAAAATAGAATAGGGGTGAAAATAACTATTTTGATAAACACTGGAGGCTATTTTTGGCATTATTCCTTTATTATTTATAGCCACCCCACCAGCTTGTGGAGGCTTTGCCATAAAAGGTCGAAGAGGATCGGATTTTTTTTATACTTAATCTATATTTCATTTAATAGGAAAAAGATCTCAACTTGATATTTAATTTTAGAAAAAATAAAGTTATGAAATTAGTTCACGATATTATTGTAGTATTTCAACGAATTATGACATATGACATATAATAATATCATCGTTTTGATCGATCAATATCACGTTAAAAGTTTAATTAACTATTAAAATAACAACTCAACACATGTATCAATTTGTAAAAAAAATCAATTACATATATCAATTTGAAACAAAAAATTTCAAATACCAAGTACCAATTTGTATAATGAACCATAAATAAGTCCTGAGCGCATAACCATACTGAGTCCAATACATACCCAATGGGCAATAACCATGTAAAATCCAACCTAATTAAACTCAATATAGTATAAACCGAACCCAAAAAATAAAATATAAGCACGATTAAATTAACCAATTAATTTAATCTAAATATAAAATAACTTAATTAAATTATTCAATTAATTATATACAATTATGTTTAATTTGACAATGATGTTTTTTCATGAACAAATAAATCTTAAAAAAAGTGCGAAAAAGAAAAAATTGTAGTAATTAATTAATATTTTTTTTTGGATAAGTAAGCTTTTATATATACAAAAGAAAGCAGTCAAACTGTTAAAAAACTGTACAAACAGTCCCCAAACAATGCACAGCTACATATTAATCCCATCATTCATCTCTATACAGTTTTTATACAACTTAGTCCTGACATCCTTTTTCACCCGTAGATATTTGGACACAGGCGGTCTAGGAACTTTTAAACATGTAACACAAATTATTACTTTAACTAAACAATCTTAAATTATGAATATGAACCAACCAGAAGTGAAAATATATAATTAAAAATTTGAATATTTAATTACCCAAAAAATATATTGAACATAAATTTATATTTACTCATAATAGAAGAATCTAAACATAGCTTAAAAAGGATATGATAAGCTGATAACATGTCAAATATCTAACTCTTAACTCTTAAATTTCAATAAAATCTAAATCTTAACTTTTAAATCTGTTTTAAAACTAAGATTTATTTATCATTATCCACAAATTTGAGTGTTATTATCTAAATCTGATTTAATTAAACTATTCTCCAAATATTTAAATTTACTAAGTAAAAAGATAATACGAATCTATTAAACATAAAAAATAAAATTAGTCTAAACAGTTTGTTATCTAAATTTTAATTATGTGGAAAATTGAACTTGAATAATGGATATTCAAATACCAGCATCCATCCAAATCTCATCGAGATAAATTATTAAAATAGAGTTTTTCAAGAGATAAATTGATATTTTATTAAAGTCGGGTTAAATTAACGTGTGAATGAATTGTTATTAGTTGATAACGTAAATGAATAAATTGTAAGAATCAAAATTTGAGTGCCCAAAATCGAAAGCAAATGAAACAAAATTTACCTCTACTGTAATTTACTCTAGTTTATTTTACGATTTTGTAACAGACAGTCACCGAAGGGTTTAAACGACCATCGTTTTGTAACAGAAAGTCACAAGCGAGAAAAAAAAAAAGGTTGTTCAATTGGCACTGCCACCATTTCAAGCTCAGCTCTTTCTTTTCCATTTCAAGATATGGGTAAGCTTAACTCTTCTCTGATTCTTCGTTCTGTTGT